CAATAATTATGCAAATCCATTAATATATGTTCAATTACTCATTACAGTCCAATTTATAGCAATTCCTAACCCCGATCAAAAAGTTAACAAAATTGCCCTCGGGCCCACGTGCCCGAATTACGAATTTTTTCGAAGATAAAATTTACCCATGAACTCACGAACTCAAATATATGATTTTCTCTTAATTTCATACCCAAAATAGTGGTCAAAATCTAAGAATATCAATTTTCTAGGTTTTCTTCAAAATCCAAAAATTTCTACTAATTTACATGATTTTTCATGATAAAATCTAGATATAATCCAAGAAATTAACTTGCAATAGGTGAGAATCACTTACCGTGACATGGATGATGAAAATGGAGCTCCTCGCGAACGCGAAGAACAATACCATACACCAGCATCAGCTATTGCAAAACATCCCGAAATAATCCGAAACCACCCCGAAACACACCCGAGGCCCCCGGGGCCCCCGTCCAATCACACAAGCCAGTCCCATAACATAACACGGACCTGCTCGAGGCTTCAAATCACATCAAACAATATCGAAATCATGAATTGCACCCCAATTCAAGCTTAATGAACTTTAGAACTTCAAACTTCTACATTCGATGTTGAAACCTATCAAATCACGTACGATTGATCTCAAATTTTGTACACACGTCATATTCGACATTACAGACCTACTCCAACTTCTAGAATTGGATTCTGACCCCGATATCAAGAAGTCCACTTCCGGTCAAACTTCTCCAAAAACCTTCAAATTTCTATCTTTAGCCAAATGACTCCAAAGTGACCCACGGGCCTCTGAATTCACTTCCGATCGCGCTCCCAACACCAGAATCACCATACGAAGCTATTCCCAGACTCAGAATCCCAAACGGACATTGATAACACTGAAATGCACTTCAACCCAAACTTATAAAATTCTTCCAAAATGCTAACTTCCACAATAGGTACCGAAACATTCTCGGGTCTTCCAAAACCCGGTCCAGACATATGCCCAAGTCCAAAATCATCACAGAACCTGCTGGAACCTTCGAACCCTAATTTCGAGGTCGTTTACTCAAAAATTCAATCTTAGTCAATTCTTCCAACTTAAAGCTTCCGAAATGAGAATTCTCTTTCCAAATCAACTCCGAACTTCCCGAAATTCAATTCCGATAATGTGTACAAGTCATAATACCTGAAGTGAAGCTGTTCATGACCTCATAGTGCTGAACGATGTATTAGAGCTCAAAACGACAGGTCGGGTCGTTACACCAATAATTTTTACTCTTAACAAGCCCTATCACCTCTCCAAATCAAAACTGTTTAGACTTGAGACATACTGGTGCTATCACCCTGAATTTGATAATATTGTCAGAGATTTTTGGTATAGAAACAACCTTCCCGCGACTACTACTTCTTTCCAACAAAAAGCCTCAAAATGGGCAAAAACAATTTTTGGCAACAATAGTAAAAATAAACTAAGAATCCTAGCTAGACTTAAAGGTATTCAAGCCTCACCTCGTTATCCTAGTAGCCATTTCCTTCCTGGAAAACGACCTTATTAATGATTATAATAACTTGCTGAAAATTGAAGAAGATTATTGGAAAATCCGCTCATGTATTAACTGGCTTAATGATGGAGACGCTAATACAAAGTTCTTTCATCTCAATGTAGTAAACTGCAAAAGAAATAATAGGACAACTTTCTTTAAGGATAGTGAGGGTAACTGGATCAATGATCCAGCACATATATTAAACCACACATATACCTATTTCCAGAAAGCCTTTCAATCTGAACACATAGAAACTCCCTGGAAAAATATCATGGCCTCCCCCACCTCCTTTGACAATACAAACCTTACAATCCTAGATCGACCCTTACAAGATTTTGAAATATCACGTGCTATATTTTCTTTTAAACCCTTTAAAGCACCATGCCTTGATGGTATTCACCCCTTCTTCTATCAAAAGTATTGGTATATAGTTAAAAAATCTTTTGTTACTTTTTGCCGGGGAATCTTTGAAAGCCTCTCAATTCCTGAGGCACTCAACTCAACGTACATTTGTCTAATACTAAAATTCATAATGCAAACAACCTCAATAATTTTCGACCCATAGGTCTTTGCAATACTATCTATAAGGTTATCACCAAGATCATTGTAAACAAGCTCAAACCCTTCCTTGACAAACTGATAGGACCCTACCAATCCAGTTTCCTCCAAGGCAGACTAACTAGTAATAACGCCATTATTATTCAAGAGATTATTAACCATTTTCAGAAAATCAAAGGGCGCCAAGGGAAAATACTTTTCAAGATTGACCTTGAAAAAGCTTTTGACACACTCGAATGGTCTTTCATCTATAAAGCCCTTCTTTTCTTCAAATTTCCTCCACGAATCACCAAACTTATTATGAGATGCGTTAGTACCTCAACAATAGCAATCCTGGTCAATGGGCCAAAGACCAATTTTTTCAACCCATCCAGGGGCATAAGATAGGGCGACCCGATGTCACCCTACCTTTTCATCCTCTGCATGGAACTTCTTTCAAAATACATCAACCACCAAGTCAAAATTGGGCTTTGAGATCCAATTAAACTAAATCCTTATGGCCCATCTATTCTATGCCGATGATCTCACTCTTGCGGCAAATGCAAATTTAAAATCAATCCACTCAATAAAGCATTGCCTTCAATTCTTTTCCCAGATCACCGGTCAAAAAATCAACACTAGCAAATCCAAAATTATTTTCTCAAAAAATTGTGATACCACTACAAGAAACAATCTAGCCAATATCCTAAACTTAAAAAGTAATGACAATTATGGCAAATACTTGGGATTTTCCATTCTTACACATAAGCCTAAACCTTCCGACCTCCGTTACATCATTGATAATTTGAATTCTAGATTGGCAAACTGGAAAATAAATTTTCTTTCTATAGCAGGGCGAACCACTCTGGCTAGATCAACCCTTAACTCCATCCCAAACCATTGTATGCAATATATAGCTCTTCGTGCCTCAATTCTCAAACAAATTGATAAAATCCAATGAAACTTCATTTGGGGAACTACTAATTTAAAAAAGAAAATCCACTATATTAAGTGGGACACCGTTACCTCCCCAAAAAAGCTGGAGGCTTAGGCCTTACGAGAGCAGTAGATAAAAATAAAACTTCTCTAGCTAGCCTTGCCTGGCGACTATTCACTAACCCAGGTTCCATTTGGGCAACCACTCTCATTAGCAAATATAGTAACAAAAGAAAGCCCTCCTCACATTCCTTCATATGAAGGAACATATTAACTGGCTGGGACACCTGTCTAAAAGCCTCACATGGATAATTGGTCCGGGCAATATTAGCCTCTGGACCTCAGCATGGATCCCAAGTCTACCACCCTTAAACACAGTTATCCAAGGACTTCTAACCCAAAGCGAATCTACCCTAAAAGTCAGTAATCTGTGGTCCAATGATCACTGAGACATCTCAAAAATATCCTTCGAACTCCCCCTCCCCCCCACATATCATCTCAAAAATCATTTCTATGAGCAAACCCAATGCAGAATATTCCAAAGATATCCCGATGTGGTCACTCACTTTCAACTGTTTATTCTCTACCAACCCAGTCTACAAAATAATCTCCCCCAACCTTCAAATAACTCTAATTATCACTGCATTTGGAAGCTTAACACTCTTAATAAAATAAAATTCTTCCTTTGGCAGTGTTCCCACAATCGCCTCCCAACAAAAAGTTACTTCACCACATTGGTATGAATGTAGACATCATTTGCTCAGTTTGCAAAGGTGCGGAGGAACCGATTTAAATTGCAAAGGTATGAACCGGTTTGAATGCCCTATAGCACAAACTTTTTGGAATGAGGTTCACCCTGATATTCTTCTATTAAATGTTAACGACGCTCACCGACTCTTTATTCTTTAAAAATCTAATATCAACATTGACCGTATAGGTATTTCATGGCTAGAATTCTTTCCATTTGCTATTTGGCACCTGTGGCTAAATAGAAATCATAACTCCTTCAACAATATTTGGAACAACCTTTCCACCAATACTGTACTGATGCATTCCGTAAAATTTAAGTACTGCACCAACTCAAATCTTGAAAATCCTCTAACCTCAACTATCATTGTCAAATGGCACCCGCCTCACACCACTGCCTTAAAACTCAACATTGATGGAGCTTTTAAAGAAAAATACAAAAAAGGGTATTGGGGTGGTGGTGGGTGGGGGGTTTCGGAACCATCAGGGGACTGAAAACTAGGATACTATAGCGCAAATTTTGGTCTCACACCAATTCATATGGAATTACTAGCTCTCAAATTGGGTTTACAACTGGCGTGTGAAACAAACCTATCCAACTTGGAAATCGAAATTGATGCACGGATATACTAATCCTAACTGATAAAAATAACTATTACACTTATGCTAACATTATTAATGAGTGCAGGTCATTACTGAAGAGATTGGGTAATCCGATGATCCGGCATAACTTCCGTGAAGGAAACAAGGTGGCTAGCTTTTTGGCAACTGAAGGATCAAAGCAACCAAACATTAACTTATTGACAATCTTGCACCAACCACCTACAAAGTTTTTGAAGCTACTCTATGATGACAAAATTGGTGCCACTATCGCTAGAAATGTTTCTGTAAATGTACTTAATAGACTAGCAGAACTTAAAATCCTAATGTTAGCTATTTTACTAGTACCAGTAGCTATGATAGCCAAAATACTGATCATCCCCTGAGAAACTCATCTTTATGTATTAATGCTTGTTAATGAATGATAATTTCGTTTTTCTACCAAAAAAAAAAAAGTTAAACTATTTGTCTAAATATCATTATATTTTCTTCATTAAGTTCAATTGTGTTTGACATTCATGTCAACAATCTCCAAAATAAAATGTAAATTTTATACATGAGGCATTCATATAATCTTTAACATCAATAGTTCACAGAATTTTCTTCTTAAAAGATTATTAATTATAGGATTGTGAGTGTTTTTAATGTTGGGAATTCTTATTTTTGCTTGTATTATGATGACAACATAGAGTCAATCGGAAATTGTTAAGAGAAAAAGGGACGACAGCTAAGAAAGCACTGGTCGGAGTAAGCATAAAACCGGTCTACAGCTAAATTCCAATCAGCAGAGCAAGAAAAAATTGCAGAAACGAACCGGTTGTAACACACATTTTAAGCCGGTTCCGTTTTCTACATTTACCAAAAAAAAAAAAGGAAAAAAGAAAGAATTCAGCAACAGACAGGACGATGCAGCAGAAATAAAAACAAGAAATATTGGTGTATCCATGTGGGAAAAAAGATCCCAATGACTAAATTAGAAGACGAAGAACAATCATGCAGTCGCCGTTGAATATTCAGAAATTTCGAAGTCTGTTTTTGCTTCCATCTGAATTGGGGATCACACAAAGTTACAAAGTGGACATTTTTCTGTTGGGTATGAAATCTGAAGTTCGTAATTCCAACAAAGTGGTGTAAGATTGAGAAAAAAAGAAGAAGAAATGAAGGCAGGGAGTGCAGCAAAGCTGATAGTAGACGCGTTGCTTCAGAGGTTCCTTCCACTTGCTAGACGTCGCATTGAAACCGCTCAAGCTCAGGTACTTTTTTAAATTTTTTTGATAGGTATTTGTGCTTAATTTTATTTTGAATTAGGTTTTGCAATTTTGTTCTGAAATTTGGGGAAATGCAGGATGGACAGTACCTTCGGCCATCTGATCCAGCTTATGAGCAAGTACTGGATTCATTGGCCATGGTTGCGCGTCACACACCTGTTCCTCTTCTCGAAGCCCTTCTAAGATGGAGAGAAAGGTGCACATTTTCACTTACAATTCGTCCTAAGCATTGCACATGGTTTTTGTTTATGTTTCAAGTTCAAGTGTATTTTTCATCTTTGCTACCAATTCAAGCAAGTCTATTTAGGTGAAAGGAATTGTGTACTTTGTACAGTTGTGTTAGCAGATCCATTTGATAAATATATATTGTTCAGTTGTTTCCCTTACATGTGCTGTATGAAGATGCCAATAGCTACTTTTTTCATTTCAAAAGATTTACATACATGATAATCCGTGATAGGTTATTCACTAGCTTTGTTAACAATTAATATAAGTATTTTTTCCATTTTGGGACATCTCAAAATATTTGCCACGATTCCAATGATGTACTATGGTTGGTTGCAGTGAATCTCCCAAAGGTGCAAATGATGCATCAACATTTCAGAGAAAGGTTTGTTAATCTACCAACTCTCTAGTCCCTGACTCTTAGCATTGAAGTATCAAACTGATTGTTCCTCTGCACTTCCATTTTCTGGTTGTTGAACAAGTTGAATGAAAATGACTTATTACATAATCTATGGAAAAGCAAAAGAATGGAACTATGGAAGCCACTTCTATTAATCACAGATGTAGGCCAAAATTACATCTGTGTTGGACAGTGAAGCTATTTCCAGGTGAAATGGATGTGCGCATGCTCTCACTTTTAGAGAAACTTAACTTTCCTAGTACAGAACCTCATGCAGTTGGATCCCCTCAGGGACATTCGATAAAATTGGTGCACCCCATGCAGTTGGCCTTATAAAAAAATGAAGCGAACCTCATGCTGCAAAGGAAGAAAGTAGAAAGAAGAGACTGCCCTTATAATATATGAAAATAAATCTGAACTACTCTAACTGAGTATTTTTAATATGTAACATATTTTAACCTCAAATGCTTGTGTAACGACTAATGAGCATGAAGACATTGCTCATGTATAATTTACCACTACTCACTTTTTGCCTAATGATACCAAAGTGGTACAGCATCATAGGTACTTCACATGCTTTTTTTTTTATGGGTAAACTTTACATGCATATATTCCTTTTTTTAAGTATGTGAATAAGTTTTGTATGGTTTAGCAACTTAAGTGGTCATATTTGCTTAAGCTCCTGAGTAAGTTCTTCCATGGTTCTTAACATTTCTCACATGCTTATTAAAAAAGTAAGTTCTTCCATGGTTCAGCTTGCAGTGGAGTGCATCTTTTGCTCTGCATGTATTCGCTTTGTGGAGTGTTGTCCACAAGAAGGACTTACAGGTAAATTCGCAGACTCAGTAGATCTACCTTTCTCTAGGGAGCTAATCCACTGCTATTTGAGTTTAACGTGCTTTTCTGAACTGCAGAGAAGCTTTGGATTGGAGTTGAAAATTTTGTATTCGATTGGCTAATAAATGCAGACAGGTCGGTTAAAGCTGGTTCATAACTTATGGCACTCGGTTTCCTATTTGAGTTTGCCAGAATAATAGTTTAATTGGTTGGCAACTGCTTTGGTCCACCTTTTTCATTCGTTTCTCCTGTTGTGGTTTATCCTTATTTACTGGAGCCATAAATGTCACTTCAGTATGCTTTTCATTCCTCTTCCTGTTTTTTTTCTCTCTTCTTTGCCATAACATATTCAAAGTACAATTTTTTTTGTAACAAGACCTTGTCTTGTCCAACATGCAAGCAACATTTCAAACTTTTGCTGTATTGCAATTTACCATCCTTAAAAAAAGGTTCCTGGTTTTCGTAGAGGGTATGACTGGCAAAGCACAGTAATTCTATTGTATTAGAGTATTCTTCAAAAAAAAAATTTATTAGATAGGTTGGAGTAATGAAGTAATAGAAGTGAATGTATATAATATTTATTACCAAAATCCCCATCTGTATTAGACGTTTTGGTCTTAAATGGACTTCTGCAGGCCTTTCCATGCCGGATGTACTGATATTATCACTCTGGCATGATTACTTTTATTTTGTACTTACCAAAAAACATTGCTTTTATATTGTAGATATATTTATTTGTTTCTTTAGCTATTTAGACAGCCAAGAGAGATTAACTGATCAACATTGATTTATTCATTCTTGACTTTGATGTCGAATTATGAAATAATGATAAACTTTGAAGCTATATGCTGAACCAATGTTACCTGTTGCAGGGTTGTTAGCCAGGTTGAGTATCCTTCATTGGTTGATTTGCGGGGGCTTCTTCTGGACTTAGTTGCTCAACTCCTTGGTGCTCTATCACGGATCAGGTAATTGAAGGAGACCCAACTTTTCATAGCCCAATCTTCAAACTCACACTTGATCCTTCGATAATTACTCCTAAGAGAGCTAAGCAAAATGAACTATGTGCTTTGCCCCTTAACATGTTTCACGTGAAAAGTGACATGTTAATTCCATACAAATGTGGTAATCTTTACCCTGTAGACATTATAGAATTTGTAATTGTAGCAAGAAACCTTGTTGATCAATGAGAATGTGACTTTCAGGGCCATGGCTAGTTTATATGTGTCTTAATGTTTCCCTTATGTGTCAACAGATTTAGTTCGGTGACAGAGCGCTTTTTCATGGAACTCAATACTCGTCGTATAGATACTAGTGTTGCTCGAAGTGAAGCACTTAGTATTATAAATGGGATGCGCTATCTGAAATTAGGGGTACGTGTTATTTATTCTTGCTGAATAAATATGCGTAGGAGCATCATAATGATATGTTATTTCCAGGTGAAGACAGAGGGTGGACTGAATGCCTCAGCTTCCTTTGTGGCTAAAGCAAACCCTCTGAATCGTGCTCCTCATAAGCGGAAGAGCGAACTTCATCATGCCTTATGCAATATGCTATCAAACATCCTAGCACCTCTGGCAGATGGTGGAAAGGGTCAATGGCCTCCTTTGGGCGTAGATCCTGCACTAACTCTATGGTATGAAGCTGTGGCACGAATAAGGGTGCAGCTCATGCATTGGATGGATAAACAGAGCAAACATATCTCAGTAAGCATAGGAAGCCTTTTATAGAACTTCCACTTTCAGTATCATCTTTATTTGGTCATAAGATGTGAAGATAATCTTCTTTAGTAATACCTAAGGAAGAATATCAAAATTAATTTTTTTTTTGTTTGCTGTCAAACAGTACCTCAAGTTTGTTCTATATCAAAGTCAGTTGGTTTTCCACTTCCTGCTTGTTGACCAAGTTAGCTTCTGTATCATCCTTTTCTCCATAGAGCATGCAGGAATTCTTACATATTGGTTTTTGGGGTCGGATTTCTCATTTGGTGTTGCTGTCTCATTTCTGGACTATTAGCAGATATTTTATATTGTATGTGCCTAGAATATCATTTAATGTGCCTACAGTTTTCATGGATTAAATCTTCTATTGTAATATTCTGGTATTTTAGCAAGAAAAACTTGGAATCCAGTGAATAACAGGAACTTGTTTTACTTGTTCCCTTCAGTCAGCTCAATGGACTGTATAAATTGGCATCTAGAGAATGAACCATAGTGCTCATTGTAATTAAGAAGTTACAATGGATAATGACCACTCAGCTTGTCTTGAGCTTCATGTGGATTTAGTATGTGAAGAGCCCAGCCCTCTCAGAACGCTANCCCCCCCCCCCCGCCATGGTTGTAATTACTTATTTCTATGTTCTTAGACTGTTTGGTAATTTCTCTAATTTGTATGTGCTTTGCAACCCCAGGTTGGCTATCCTTTAGTTACACTTCTTCTGTGTCTTGGTGATCCGCATGTTTTTCTCAGTAACTTTGGTCCTCATATGGAGCAACTGTATAAGCATCTGAAGGTAAGCTGTAATTAAAGTTTTTATTAGCAAAAAAGTAAAGCCTTGTTGTGACTGCCTTTTTGAAGATTTTCCGCACACATTTAATGTTGATCCTTTTCACAGGACAAGAACCACCGATTCATGGCCTTAGACTGCTTACATCGTGTGCTGAGATTCTACTTAAGTGTTCATGGTGATTCCCAGCCTCCAAATCGTGTATGGGACTACCTAGACAGCGTGACATCACAACTCCTTACAGTTCTCAGAAAAGGCATGCTTACACAGGATGTACAACACGATAAGCTTGTAGAATTCTGTGTGACGATTGCTGAACATAACATTGATTTCGCTATGAACCATATGATATTGGAGTTGCTCAAGCAAGACAGTCCAAGTGAAGCGAAAGTTATTGGTCTTCGTGCTTTGCTTGCCATTGTCATGTCTCCTACCAGTCAGCATGTTGGCCTGGAAATTCTCCATGGTAATGATAACGTACTTGGTCTCATTGGCACTTTCTAGTCGTTTGGCGTTTCTATTCTGGATTCATGACTTTCTTTTATCACATATGGCAGTTCGTGGTATTGGCCATTTCATCCCAAAAGTGAAGGCTGCAATTGAGTCAATTTTGAGATCTTGTCATCGGATGTATAGCCAGGCTCTTCTTACTTCTTCAAGGACCACCATAGGTAATTATCTACGGTACAAATAGCTTATACTCTTGAATATTAATGGGAGGTAACTTGTGTATCTGTATGATAGTTTTAGCTGATATCTGAGAATTTGATTCAAGAATTTTTTACTTGTAATAAGACCAATTGATGTTGGTAGTATCAAAAATGGATACAGACAATACACCCTTCCCCTCAGTTTTTGTATCAATCATGCTTCGTTCTTGTGTCTACTGGCTATAATTTACAACATTCCTTATGGAAAAGGGGTGAGGATGCGGACCTTATCAAGCCCTTTTCCAGCCTTTTGACTTGTAACAACTACTCAGCCATATATGATTTCTTGAGTCAGTTGAAGTTTCTGCATTGCTATTTCTCTTTTAGGAATTCTACTTTATGCTGTTTGGTGATTATCTATATTATTTATTTGCCTGAGCAGCTTTTTAAACTTTTTTCTTCAGCATCTAGCTGTGGCAGCTTGGAACTTGGATAAATATTTTGTAGTTTCACTTAACTGTATGAAAATGATAGTATGTAGCACGTGTTCAGTCTTCTTTTTTCATCTCATGCCGCAAGATTGACATATTAAACTTTGGTTATTCACTTCTAAAATTTACAACATTTGTAGTTTGCATTCACCGGTGAATACTCTTTTTGATCCTGCTAGTTGCTGCTTGCTTTTATATCTGCTTTGTTCTATATTTATGGTTTGAGATGTAATGTTAATTCACCACCCACACTTTTTAGGTTGCTACTTAATAAACTAGCCGTTTTTCCATTGATCTCCTAAACAGTATCTTTCTTTTTGTTAGATTGAACTGCCCTCTACATTGTCTGAAGTAGCGGTTTTATATATAAAACTCTTTTGTTGCCCCAGATGCTGTAACAAAGGAGAAGTCTCAGGGATATCTATTCCGCTCAGTTCTGAAGTGCATACCATATCTGATTGAAGAAGTTGGCCGAAGTGATAAAATTACTGAGATAATACCTCAACATGGCATCAGTATTGATCCTGGTGTGCGTGAGGAAGCTGTACAGGTACTCAATCGGATCGTGAGATACCTGCCACATCGTCGCTTTTCAGTTATGAGAGGGATGGCAAACTTCATTTTACGCCTTCCAGATGAGTTCCCTCTTCTCATTCAAACTTCTCTGGGGCGCCTTCTGGAGCTCATGCGTTTTTGGAGAGCTTGTCTAGCTGATGATAAGGTGGAGTCTGATGTTTCTGATGCAAAGCGTGTGCAGAGAACTGAGGGATTCAAGAAGTCTTCTTTCCACTCTCAAGAAACACTTGAATTTCGTGCTTCAGAGATAGATGCAGTTGGTCTTATATTCCTTAGTTCTGTGGATAGTCAGATCCGGCACACAGCACTGGAGTTACTGCGCTGTGTTCGTGCTTTAAGAAACGATATACGGGAAGTCTCGTTGCATGAGCGATCAGATCAGATTTTGAAACATGAAGCTGAGCCCATATTCATAATTGATGTTCTAGAAGAGCATGGGGTGGGTAGAATTCTCTTTCCCTTTTAATGCATCCTGACATTGTTTTATTTTTAAATTAGGAAGTTCTAGTGCATTTCTAGTAAGGATCTTTGCTTCTGCAGGATGATATTGTTCAGAGTTGCTACTGGGATTCGGGGCGTCCATTTGATTTGAGACGAGAGTCTGATCCTGTACCACCTGATGTTACTCTCCAGTCTATGCTATTTGAGAGCCCGGATAAGAACAGATGGGCCCGCTGTCTTAGTGAGCTTGTCAAGTATGCAGCAGAGCTGTGTCCAAGTTCTGTTCAGGAAGCAAAGTAAGCAAGTTTTGGAAATTTAGACATCTTAAACACGTGAAAATGTGCAAGCTTCCTTCTTTAGTATGTCGTTATCTTTAGTGAGCACTTCTTGGTATATTTAGGAAAGTCAAAAAGACCCTGTTGTGGAATGATTTGTGTGTACTGGTGTTCCACCTACACCTACAATTTTGCCAATAGCCTAATGTAAAAAACTTAAAACTGTAACAAAATTCTTTGCTTACCCTTATCTCACGAAGTGTTTTTCCTTCTTTCTTCAGGAAAAATACCTATGAATGCCCGTTATGTTAGGTGATAGTTTTCTCCTGACTTTTGGTATATGTTCATGCTGTGCATTGCTTGATGGATATCACATTTCTGCTATGACATATTCCCTGGGAAGTCATCATGTTGCATCCCTAGAAAATATTTTACCATGACACATGCCTTCCGTAGGGCTATTTTGGTCATTGTAAAAGAGATTGAATATTTGAAGTTCCATTTCTTGATCATCCATGCAATTCCTTATTTTAAAGTCTCAAACTTGAGTCATTCTGTGCAGAAAGCTTGAAGTTTCATCTTATATTGATGTTGCTTGCAGATTGGAAGTTATTCAGCGTCTTGCTCATATCACGCCTGCTGAGTTGGGAGGAAAGGCCCATCAGTCACAGGACACTGACAACAAGCTAGATCAATGGCTGATGTATGCTATGTTCGCATGCTCATGTCCACCTGATAGTAGAGAAGGTGGTGGCTCGGCAGCAATAAAAGAACTTTTCCATCTCATCTTCCCGTCCTTAAAGTCTGGTTCTGAAGCAAATATAGTGAGTAGATACCACCAGAAATCTTTGTGATGGTTGCAAAATTTTCATATTGCCTATGTGTTCATTATCACTACATTTATATGTCGGTGTTATAAATTTATAGACATTTCCATGCTAACACATAGGAAATTTTGTAATGCCAGAAACACACCCATGACATTATTGTGATTAACTTGGATTGATGTGTATTTTCACTGGGGATACTTGAGCATCCAAGCTCCAAATGTATATTTGGTTTCAAAGTTATTAAGACACTACTTTCTGGAAAAAAAATTCCTGACATATTAGCCATTAATAACTTGCTTAGAACAAATACCTTGATTCTGGAACTTTGAAGAGTGTCAAAACCAAGATTTATTTGGTAAGCACTGGAAGACTGTTCGTAGGAATGGTGGGCTGAGATCGCTTATATCCAATATCAAGGGGTTTGCTTATAATCCTGTAGCTGGTCCCTATTTGACACAGCCACACTGATAAGCCTCATGTGCACATCAAATGCTGTAGTATTGGTACTTGTCGAAATAAGTTTTTTGGATATTTTATTATACGAATTTTTTAAATTAAATATAAGAGCCCAAGAAACAACCTCTTGCAGAAATGCAGGGTAAGGTTGCGTACAATAGACCCTTGTGGTCCGGCCCTTTCCCGGACCCCGCGCATAGCGGGAGCTTAGTGCACCGAGCTGCCCTTTTTTATAAGAGCCCAAGAAACTATGTTATAGATAAGTTCTTTTTTTCCATAAAGAAGTATTTGCATGTTTGGAAAGGGTAGGATTGAAATAAAACTCTTCATTGAATTGGCGTCCATGTGTTAAATGACTTTTTCTTTTGCTTGTTTTAGCATTCAGCTACAATGGCTCTGGGCCACTCCCATCTTGAAATATGCGAAGTAATGTTTAGTGAGCTTGCATCTTTCATTGACGAGGTCTCTCTGGAGACGGAAGCGAAACCAAAATGGAAGGTAATCTTTTCAAACATTTTCTTGTCATTGTACTTCTCTTTTTGTGTTCACTTTCTTTAAATATAACGTCCCTTTTTGTTTCTTCAGATGGATTGAGCAAAATGATGTTTTATCCATTTATTATTATTAATAAGTAGCTTGGGAGTTTTTTCATGTGTGTGTGCTAGTATTTAAGACATATAAAAGTTTAACTCCTTATGGTTCTAATACTACAGTAGAAAACGATCGGGCACACAGTGTTGTAGAAAAACTTGAAGCAGTCAACAAGGAGATGAAATTGTTAAGAAACAACAACAACAACTACGCCTTAATCCTAAGCTAGTTGGAGTCGACATATTCATTTCGCTCTTTTTGGACCCATTTTATTCTATCATTTAATATTTGGGTGTTCTCTAACACTCGAGGTTCTAACTTATAAAAGAAATGCTAATGTTTTCCGCATGTTTTACTGACATCCATATATCTAAACAGACAAAGGCTCCTAGCGACATTGGGCCTAATGTAAGCATACCTCAAAGCTAAGCTTTAATTCCAACTAGTCAGTGTCTCCTACATGAATCTTTTGCTTCCAATTTGTCTTATTTTCTCAAAGAGATTGTACGTCTTTTGAGATAACTTCCTTCCATGTGATTTTAGGTCTACTTTGTCCTGGTTTCACACTTACGGGACGACACATTTGGAGGTCTACGTAGGACATTTACGAACCATCTCAACTCTCAAGCAACCTTCTCTTACTTTATCCTCTATGTGTGCTACTAGAGGATTAAATGAGAATATGTCGCTTAAGATGGTTTTGGTCATATCTTATATGAACTTTCAAAGGCATCTGTCTGTAGGTATGAAAACCATGATGATTGACAGATAATATCATTAAGAAACACACTTATCCAAAAAAAAAATCGTTAAGAACTATCAAAAATTTGTGTTCAATGGGAATCAAGAAGAATTTGGAGTAAAGCATAGCCAAAATTTACATTGGAATAGCTTACTTGATTAATACATATAGAACAAGTTAGACTATGCAAGTATTCCAAAACCAGAGTTCTTTTCCTTGTTTTGTTTTTTCTTTTCCCCCCTCTAGTGTTTTTGGGCCAGGAAAGAGAACAGCTATTTTGAGTCGTCATGAGCTCTTTGCTTTCTCAGGTTTGAGCTCTTTCATACAGCACACCTACTAGGTACATTAACGCTTGAGTGATAGAGTTGTGCTTAAAATAAGCCTTATTGAAATGGCAGGTTAAAATTTTTTTGCTTGTAGGAATGCTAATAGTTGCACATATGTAGCTGATGACGTTCTTGTATACATCTTACTCTGTTCATAAAACTTTTGACAAATTTATATGTTAAGCAAGAACCCCAATCTTTATGGGGCAATGTGATCAAAGCAAAGTATGGTGAGGAAAATAATTGGGTGTCAAAAAAGTCAGAACATCATATGGAGTAAGTGTGTGGAAGTCCATCAGAAAACTTTGGCCTATAATGAAGAATCACTCCTCCATAAGAGTGAGCAACGGAAGGAACACATCATTCTGGAATGATAATTGGTTAGGAAACGGAAGCTTAAAGGAAAGATACCCCGATATGTTTGGTTTAGCACAAAACCAGCATAAGACAGTAGCTGATATGAGGAGTCATCAAGGATGGGAAATCGTTCTAAGAAGACAGTTGAATGACTGGGAGATAACAAGACTAGCTGACCTTTACAAAGAGCTGGAAGCATTAAAAGGATTACAGGAAGGTTTTGATTCACTTTGGTGGAAGAGGCACAACAGAGGGGTTTACCGGGTGAAGGATGCATATAAGATTTTGAATCATAATAATCAACAGTTGGACCCATGGCCTTGGAAACATATATGGAAATCAAAGATTCCATACAAGGTAGCTTGCTTCACCTGGCTACTAGCAAAGGAGGCGGTATTAACCCAGGATAATCTTATAAAAAGGGGAATTTCTCTGTGCTCAAGATGTTTTCTGTGCGGGGAAAATGCAGAAACTGTCACACATTTGTTTCTACATTGCAAGATTACAGACCAACTATGGAAAATCTTTATTAGTCTTAGGGGTATTTCATGGTCAATGCCATACAGGCTTAAAGATGTCCTTTATAGCTGGGAAGAAGCTGGAGCGGAAGCAACTAGTAGAGATAGATGGAGGACGGTCCCGACTTGTATATGGTGGACAGTTTGGAGGGAAAGGAACAATAGATGTTTTGAAGATAGAAGCAATCCAGTGCAGAAGATTAAACTCAATTGTATTCTTCTTTTTTGTTTTTGGTGCAAACAGATTTACATAGAAGATACATTGACAATCATAGACATACTAGGATCTTGCTAGGTTTCGAATTAGAAAGTCTACTAATCCTCTCCATGTAAATCTGGTTTTCAGTGCAACCCATGTTTTGCACTGATGTTTTTAATATATACAAGAGTTACCAATTCAAAAAAAAAAAAAATGTTAAGCAAGAATGAAATGAGATGTCAAATTCATTTGTTGTAAAAATATACTACAGTTTACAGACACATCTATTACATGCGTATGAGATTTCCTAATTTATGCTAAAGAAAATCACAGGCATGAAACTGCAGCTACATAGTCCTTTGAAATACCCCATGCCAAAGCTTGTGCATTGCTGATTCTCTGTGTCATTATCTGTACATATTCTGTGCTCTGGATCTTTTTAGTAGAATTTCAGTTGTTTTATTGCAGAGCCAAAGGTCCCGTCGAGAAGAACTTCGTGTCCACATTGCAAATATATACCGCACAGTAGCTGAAAACATCTGGCCTGGAATGCTTAGTAGGAAACCTGTTTTCCGCCTACATTATTTGAAGTTCATTGAAGAAACAACCAGGCAGATATTAACAGCGTCTGCTGAGAGTTTCCAAGATATGCAACCACTCCGTTATGCACTTGCTTCTGTACTGAGATCTCTGGCCCCTGAATTTGTTGAGTCGAAATCGGAGAAATTTGATATTAGGACTAGGAAGCGGCTTTTTGATCTTCTGCTCTCCTGGAGCGACGATGCTGGCAATACATGGAATCAGGAAGGTGTTAATGATTATCGACGCGAAGTAGAACGATACAAATCTACTCAGCACTCTCGATCAAAAGATTCTATAGACAAACTCACATTTGATAAAGAACTGAATGAACAGGTAGAAGCCATCCAATGGGCTTCCATGAATGCAATGGCTTCACTGTTGTATGGACCCTGCTTTGATGACAATGCGAGAAAGATGAGTGGCCGGGTAATATCTTGGATAAATAGTCTATTCATTGAGCCTGCACCAAGGGCTCCCTTTGGGTATTCACCTGCTGATCCAAGAACTCCATCTTATTCAAAGTATACTGGTGAAGTTGGCAGAGGATCAACTGGTCGTGATAGGCATAGAGGAGGCCATCTTCGAGTTTCACTCGCAAAATTAGCTTTAAGAAATCTTCTTATAACAAATTTGGACCTGTTTCCTGCTTGCATTGATCAGGTGCTTATTTTTCCTACAGCTTGTAGGAAGTTCATGGTGCAATTCATTCATTTGTTATACGCCACATTTGTTTTTGTGGAAGCTTTTATTCTGATTTTATGATAAAAAAGCATTCCATAATCATATTAGCCTTCTGAAAAATGAATTTTATGTGACTTGTCAATATTGTGGGTGTGGGTGTGTATAGTGTCATGATTTTATGTGCTATACAATCCCCCAGCTGTTTCAGGAGGTAAACCATTTTAATAAGTTAATAATTTTCACGGAATTTTTTGTTGGAAAATTAGTTGCCTCTGTTTCTTTTAAGAAAGTGGAAATGAGTTGCCTCTGTTGTTCCTTCTCTTTAATTGGAACAGTGGTGGCATTCTTATATCATTTTTATCTTTTCTCTTTTTAGTATCAGTAAATACGGTTCAACATTCAAATCCCTTTGCTTTACTTTTTTTGACATGGAGCAAGTTATAACACTTTTCTTGCCCTTGGCAGATGTTTAGCATATATGTTGTTATACCTTTGAAATACTTATTAAGTCTTTCGTTGTTACAGTGCTACTACTCTGATGCTGCAATTGCAGATGGCTACTTCAGCGTGCTAGCTGAAGTCTACATGCGTCAAGAGATTCCAAAATGTGAAATACAAAGACTTTTAAGCCTGATCCTCTACAAGGTGGTGGATCCTTCCAGACAGATTCGTGATGATGCCCTTCAAATGCTTGAGACGCTTTCTGTCCGCGAATGGGCTGATGATGGGATGGAGGGTTCAGGAAGCTACAGAGCTGCTGTTGTTGGGAACCTTCCGGACTCATATCAACAGTTCCAATACAAACTCTCCTGCAAACTTGCTAAAGATCATCCTGAACTGAGCCAGTTGCTTTGTGAAGAAATTATGCAGAGGCAGCTTGATGCTGTTGATATAATAGCACAGCATCAAGTCCTCACCTGCATGGCTCCATGGATCGAGAATCTCAATTTCTGGAAACTTAAGGACTCTGGCTGGAGTGAGAGATTATTGAAAAGTCTCTATTATGTGACATGGCGACATGGTGATCAGTTTCCTGATGAAATTGAAAAGCTTTGGAGCACAATTGCTAGCAAACCAAGGAACATAAGTCCAGTTTTAGACTTTTTGATTGCAAAAGGGATTGAAGATTGTGATTCAAACGCATCAGCTGAAATAAGTGGTGCATTTGCTACATATTTCTCTGTTGCTAAAAGGGTTGGTTTATAC